TTTAGTTACCTTCAGAAAGCTCCCCAGTGTGTTATCTAAATGTTGTGTCTATGTGTTAACTTCAAGGCTGGGCTACTGCTTTGAATTTCTTCACTGACAGTTAAATTTCATATTTAAGCATGAAAACTTTTTGTTGCCTGCTTATAGGAGGCTGTAAATGAGCATAAAGCAGCCATTTGTCAGCAGGCAGCTGAAAGGTGATTTTCAGAGGGGACTGAAAACCACTGCAGGCTGCTGGCTTCCTGGCACAGCCACCAGACCCCAAAGGCATACACTGAGGAAGGAGTATAAGGTGGGCAAAACTCAAAGCAGATGCAGCTAAAATCGAAATGACAGTGACCCACTAAGATAATCCTGTATGTGGAGACAAGCAGAGAACTCCCAAAGAGAAGAAAACATGAATATCAAATAAAAGTATCTAATGTCTGGAGCCAACACAGTTTTTTTAAAAAAACATTAAAAACAATAACAATCTGTATATCTTTTTTTTTTTTTCTTTAAAAACTATAACAATGTAGACAACCATAGCAAAATAGAGAACAGTAGGCTGCCATTTCATGCTTGGTAAAGTGGAGGGTCAGTGAAAAAAAGGAAGACCCTCAATGAGATGGGTTGGCACAGTGACAGCAGCAATGGGCTCAAGCAGAGCAACACTTGTGAGGACCAGGCAGAGCTTCAGGTCTGTATGAGTTGTTACCATCTTGATGGCACCTGACAACAACAAGGTTATCATTAAGCGCCATTGAGTTGGTTCTGACTCATAACAACCTCGTATGGGGTTTCTGAGAACTGACTGGTGGATTTGAACCACCTACCTTGTGGCTAGCAGTCCAATCCTTATCCTACAGCAATACCGTAGGTGGCCTTGGAGAAGTATTTATTGAAGCTGTTTTATCTAGTATTTGTGCCATCACAAAAACCTTTTAACTAGCACCTTTTAACAATGGCAATTGATACGTAGACTGTAATTGCCTTCAAGCACTTTGGAAACCTGGGGAACCCTATGATGCATTAATAAATGTTTCCATACTCTCCATGTAGTATTGAGTGGGTCTCCCTTTCTTCTTTTTTTAAACTGTCTTTGAAAGTTAAAGCTATGTCACGTATAATACAAATTTATTCTCAAGTAAACTTTCTTGGCCATGTTGTTGTTGTTGTTGTTGTTAGGTGCCGTCGAGTCGGTACCGACCCTTAGCAACCTTAAGCACAGCAGAATGAAACACTGCCCGATCCTGGGCCAACCTCACTACTGTTGCCACACTTGAGTCATCAATGCTGCCACTTGGCCAATCCATCTTATTGGGGGTCTTCCTCTTTTTCTCTGACCCTCCACCTTACCATAGCATAGGTTTATATCTATTTAGTTAACCAAGAAGTCGGGATATTGGCAGTATAAATGAGTTGTCCAGAGACAACCAATGTGTCATTGTAAAGATAAAGCAGAACTAGGCTGCATTCCACCAGCTCCTGGCCTGTGTAACAATTTTGATAATGTTCCAATCATTTTAGGAAAATGAGGTACTTAGAAAATTTAAAAAGCTCTTTTAAAGAAGAAAATCACTTATTTTGGAAATCACAAAATTAATCATTCTGTTGTATTTAAGAAGTGCTTTGATGTGTTCTGGTAATTGGTATTTACTGCCAGACAAATGTCTCTTGGGCATTTTAATTAATGGGTGGCTTGGCCAAATGAGCTTCTGATGGTAAACCTTCATAAGGGTTTATTTTTATGTTTCTCAAGAATAGCTGTCTCTTCAAAGCTCTTTAATTAGACAATGTTTAGTAACTAAAACATATTATTAGAATAATTAGGCCTTGGGTTAAGAGAAATATGGGGTCAAAGGAGCAGGAACTGTTAGAGAATGGCGTCTTAAAATAAAACATGGCTTTCACATCAGATGGATTTCCAGTCCCTTAACAGCTTATGTTAAGTCACTGTCCCTAGTTAGGGACTTTGTGTTGTTTAACATTCAGATGACAGGTCTCACCAGAAGCCTAAACACACCAAAATGTGAGCTCATTTATCACCACCTCGACATTCCCGACATTCCCGTAGAAAACGAACTTCTCATCTTTGTGCCGTCTCAGCTGATGATTTATAATTTTCTCCTTTTTTTCCCTGTTACATTGGTGATCTTAGCTACGATAATGATTTGAGGGAAATACTTCTTTCCCAGTATTTTTAATTATCTTTGTATATATAGCATTGATCTTAAAGCTACTATAGTACTTACATTCCAAAATTTTACATTCTTTTTGGTCAGAATACAGTTCGAATTATTTCACAATTTTCTCTGAAGATGGTTTGCCACCTGGCTTCCCTTTTCTGTATCCCTTCTTCTATATCTTGTCTTACATTCTCAATCTTAGCAGTCATTACTGGTCAATTTATTTCACCCTGAGGTACTTTATTGTAATGAGAAAAGATGTACATGACAAGTACTGGGATTGGGTAATATGTCTCTAAAATAATTAAGTTGTATTACTGAAATTACTCTTGTTAAACCAACAATGTATTCGTCTGTAATGTCTGATATTTGCTTCCTTACGATCTCTAGTTGCTTTTGATGGCAAATGTGTACCTTTCTTGGCTAGATCAGTTGGCTGAAGTGCTAATACAACTATTAGAAATGTCAGACAAAGCAGACTGTATTCTTAGCTAGCCTGTCTAATCCTATCAGTTGTGACCTATCCATCTTGTTGGCTGAACTGGGTCAAGAATAAATATGTCATTCAGTCCATATAAATCTACTGCCACTACTGGAGAAAAGTCATTCAGGAGCTTAATGTATTATGTGTCAGTTATATTTTTTAAATGGAGAAGATAGCTTATTTATTACAGTTTATCACATGTAAATTCTTTCGATATACCTTAGTTAGCAACAATGGTTAGGGAGATGACTAATCAATTATTTTATTTAAGCTAGTAGGAACTTCATTTTATTTTTTTATTGATATTATCTGGGGGAAAAAAATTAGAGTTAATGTTGTTGTTGTTGTAGTTAGGTACTATAAAGTTGGTTCTGACTCATGGTGAACTTGTGTACAACAAACCAAATGTAACACTGCCCCATCCTGTGCCATCCTCACAGTATTCCTGTGTTGGAGCCTATCATTACTGCCACTGTGTCGATTCATCTCTTTGAGGGTCTTCCTCTTTTTCTCTGACCCTCTACTCTACCAAGCATGATAGCATTTTATAGGCTCTGGTCCCTTCTGATTACATCTCCAAACATTTGGGGCAAAGTCTCTCCTTTCTGACTTTTTCCTTTTTCTGTGAATTCTCCCAAGACAAATTCAGTATTCTTCACTAACACCATAATTCAACGACATCAGTTCTTCAGTCTTCCTTATTTGTTGTCCAGCTTTTGCATATGAGGCGGTTGAAAATAACATGACTTGGGTCACAGACTTAGCCTTCGTCCTCAAAGTGACATATTTTCTTTTCAACACTTTACAGAGGTTTTTTTGTAGCAAATAATGACCAGTGCAATGCATCATTTGATTTCTTGACTGCTGTTTCCAGGGGCATTGATTGTGAGTTCAAGTAAAATGAAACCTTGGCAATGTCAATCTTTTCTCCGTTTATCGTGATATTGTTTATTGGTCCAGTTGTGAGGATTTGTGTTGTCTTAACATTGAGTTGTAATCCACATTGAAGACCGTAGTCTTTGATTTTTATCAGTAAGTACTTCAAGTCCTCTTTGCTTTCAGAAAGCAAGGTTTTGTCATCTGCATGTTGCAGGTAGTCATTGAACCTTTGATTCTAATACTGTGCTCTTCTTCATATATTCCTTCTTGAAGGATTTACTCAGCATACAGAATTATTATTAGAAGCCAGGATGACGAGACTTCGTCTCTCATACTTTGGACATGTTATCGGGAGGGACCAATCCCTGGAGAAGGACACCATGCTTGGTAAAGTAGAGGGTCATTGAAGTAGAGGAAGACCCCCAAGGATATGGATTGACACCATCCATGGCAGCAGTACTGGGCTCAAATGTAATGATTGTGAGGATGGTGCAGGACCGGACAGTGTTTGTTCTCTTGTGCACATGGTCCCTATGAGTCAGAACTGACTTAATAGCACCTAACAACAACATGCAGATTGAATAAGTGTGGTCAAAGAATCCAACCCTGACCAGTATATTTCCTGATTCTAAACTACTTACATTGTTTTGTTTGAATGACTGCCTCTTGTTTTATGTATAGGTTTCATATGAGCACAATGAAAGGTTCTGGAATTCCTATTCTTTACAGTGTTATCCATAATGTGCCATGATCCACAGTCAAAAGTTTTTGATTAGACAGTGAAGCACAGGTATATATCTTTCTGGCATTATAGCTTTCCTTCAAGATCCATCTGACATAAGCAAAAAAAAAAAAAAAAAGTAACATAGTTTTGGAAATATTTGGTAAGCAAATAAATAGAGATATAAAGATGCAAGCATATTGTTGCCACATTCTAAAGAACTGATTAAACAAGTATGCTTTTCTTGTCAAATTCTGTCTTTGCGAAGACAGAAAAAAAGATGAACCCAAGTGAAGTCCTATGTTTATAAAGGATTGTTTTTCCCTTTGCAGTGACTCATTTCTCTGTTCTTTCCTAAAATGTTGATTACTGTAACTTTGTTTTTTGACTCATACTTTAGCACAGGAAATATTGCTGATATTTATCTTTACATGTGTGTTTTCCTGTGTATATGTCATAGTTTGCAATGGGTATATGAAGAGGAAAGTGTTGAATCTTCTGTTCCTTGAGCAATTCCGTTACAGCCCTCAGAATGCTTCATTAGAATGAGCCAAGCATACTCTAATACATACTATGCTCAACAGAACTTAATGCTTAACATGGTTTCAGTAGTAATGCTGATAGGTATAAACCAGCACTAAAAAGGTGTTGTTTTCCTTTTCTTTATTTTTGCTTGGTGGGATCCCTTGCATCCCTTCTTGAAAACCGTTCCAGAATCCAAAATGAGAACTGTTCTTCTTTGTCACAGACCACCTGGTGGCCCATGGTAGAATGGCAGAAAAGGAGGCCCGTCGGAAGTTCAAACAGATCGTCACAGCTGTCTATTTTTGCCATTGTCGGAACATTGTTCATCGTGATCTAAAAGCAGAAAATTTGCTTCTGGACGCCAACCTGAATATCAAAATAGCAGGTGAGACATGTGCTGAGGATGTGCCCTCAGAACAAGAGAGCTTTTCTTTCAGGGTTCTTAAAGCAAGGAGTTCGGTTTCCACCTCTTCAGAAAGAAGTATAAAACTAAGGACAACTTAGAATTATTTTTTGTGACCTACAAAATAGGTAAACTTTCAAACTATATGTTATGTTTCATATCGTATTAGATGGAACTAGGAGTAAAGAAGAGAAAGAGTGATACTTACATTTCTGTTATTTAGATGGTCAGATTGGTCTGCTTTAAAGAAATAAGAATAAAATACAAAATAAAGGGGAAAGGAGAACTGCTGAAAATCATATCCCCTCTTAATGTTAGTTGAGAAGGCTGACTGTCACTGTTGTCATGGAGCATGTTTATTCTAAAGACTTAGTTTTATAGTAATTTAGGAAGAATAAGTCTGATTTAGGTTTGCAAGCATTCTGAGCTTTTTGACTCTGCAAATTTCACTAGTTTACTTATCTGACAAGGCCTCAAGCGACTTTTTACGGCCATAATTTGCTCATGCTTCAGTTTTAGTGAATGCCCAGTATTTCGCATAACCAATACAAGCTCACCACCTATTGATGCAAAAAAGTGACTGCAGTCTATACAACTCTGTACATGTATGAAGATTAGTCATTTTTGGTTCTTTACTATTTCTGGTACTACATTGTATATCTTCCCAAAAAAGTGGGGAGGGGAGGTTTCTCATACAGAAAATTGAAGTATAGCTCGAATACAATTACCCATGAGAGCCAAGATAAAATGCAGTTTTAAAGATTGTTCTCATTAATAGAATGGGAGTTGAGCATTCAGATTTCTATCACGGTATAGGTCAGACTCCAGGCCCTTGCAGGCTGGTGACATCTGCACTGTTTTTGTGGGGATAAGCCTGCGCACTTTCCAGATGTTCCTTTTACATCCTTCGAGAGACACTCAGCATGCTCTTTATCTAGGTTAGTCTAATGGCTGCACGCTTGTTTAGTATTTCACAAAACCAATACAAGCTTCTCTAAAGGTTGTTGTTTCCAGGGACCTTATACACAACACAACGAAATACCACCTGGTCCTGCGCCATCCTCACAATTGCTGCTATGCTTGAACCCATTGCTGCTGCCACTGTGCCATCCATCTTGCTGGGGGTCTCCTTTTTCACTGATCCTCCACTTACCAAGCATGATGTTCTCTAGGGACTGGTCCCTCCTGATAGATAACAGGTCATCTTGGCTTCTAAAGAGCATTCTGTTTTTACTTCTTCCAGCACAGATTTGTTTGTTTTTCTGGCAGTCCATGGTACTTTTAATCTTCTCCTTCTCCTCCAACAGCATAAATCACATGTATCTATTCTTCTATGGTTTTCTTTACTCATTGTCCAACTTTCACATGCATATGAGACTATTGAAAATACTATGGCTTGGGTCAGGCACACTTTAGTCCTCAAACTGACATCTTTGCTCTGAACACTTTAAAGACATCTTGTGCAGCAGGTTACAACCTAGGAAATCTTACCTGATAGGGTTTTCTCCATCACCTGGGGTCACAATGAGGCAAATAACAGCTTACAGCAACAGTCATAAGAGTTCTGGTAGCCAGTCTTGGGCCCGGTGTGTGTTAATACATATACAATGATAGAATTTTTTATTGTGAATTCAGTGAAGATCACAGAGCGCACATCATGAGGTTTGTATTCAACAAGTCATATACTTTGCTTCATTACGTTGATTACAATCCCCTCCTCAGTGTAACATCAGTTAATTCCACTTCCTCCCTGTGATTTTTGTTTTCATTCAACCTTCTTTTCCAACCCTTTTGAATTTTGTCCTTAGGTAAATGCTGCCTCTTTGAATTTGAATGGTTGACTGGTCCATAGTGTAAATACCTCAGTAGTGTTGTTTCCCCCCACCCCCTATATACCTATTTACTGCTTGGCTGGAAATTAAGCCCAGAGGGTGAATTCATTTCCAGACCTGAGAGTGGCCAGGGGCCATAGTTTCAGGTTTCTCCAGCCTCTTTCTGACTAGTAAATCTTTTTTTATATATAATTTTGAGATTTATTCCACGTTTTCTACTGCTCTGTTCAGAACCTATGTGTGCTACAGTATAATGCATTGGACTGTAAGGTCACTGGTTCAAACCCATCAGCCACTCCTTGGAAACCCAATATAGGGTCGCAGTGAGTTGGAACCAATTCAACGGCACTTAACAACAACAACAACAGTGTGCTCCCTTTCAGAGCAGTTGGTGTGGTAACTGGGCATCATCTTGTTCTACTTGTCTCAGTCATGGAAACTGATGCTCACGTGTTCCATTAGTTCATTGGACTAGTTGATTCCAAGCGTCTTCAGTTTTCACCACTCTTCTTTCCTCCGCACATAGAGAGATCAATAGCTGCACCTTAGGTGGCCGCTCATGAGCTTTAAGATCCCAGATGAGACTCATCAAAGTAGGATGTAGAACATTGTTTTTATGGACTACGCTATGCCACTTGACCATGGTCTTCTCACAGAAGATGGTCCTGAGCCCCAGGCCCTGCAATTACAAGATTTTTAAGTTATTTAACACAAAGTCTGAAATGTTGTTATTTGTTTTCAGAGCAAAACAGAGAATAAATGTGCACCCTAGTTTGTGGCCTGCCACAATAGCTAACATTACCTTTGCTCATGTGTTCTTTCTCTTACATGCAGTTACTACTCAGTTCTTAATTATTGCCTGAACTTTCTTTCTTGCACATAAATGAGTGAGAATTGTCATCTGCATCTTCCAAGTCTTCTTTGGACTTAATGGACCAGTGGGAGAAATGCTTAGTTAAAGCTGACTGGAGCCTACCTCATTGTTGAGAGGTCATTTGGATGGTTCTGACATGATAAGGTCAAATAGATAATGAAATCAACTTTATAGTCTAGAAGCTAAAAGTCACCTTCACATCTTTTCAATGATGTCTTTTGATAAATTATTATAATTCTGGATAAGATGAAACCATTGCACATGAAAAAAACAAGAGAGGAAAACGGTTTTGTTTTATTTTACTTTAAGTATGTCAGTCATCCTTTCAATAGCTCACCTTTAAAACATCATATATGTTATCATAGCAAACTAACTTGGAACCAATACAAACTGATACTAGGAAATGTATGAAATTCTTGTTTTCCTTATGCCAGTGTTCCCTTAAGTGGTTTTAATGAAGGGGGGAAATATATATATATATACACACACACATACATGCATATTGGTTCAAATGTAGACAATGAAAATGTCATCTTGGGAATACTTATGTTTATATTGATTGAATTTGACTTTTTTTGTCAATTAATGTGGCAATTTAAATTTTGTGTCTTATACTGTAAGAACTGTTAAGTGCTGTCATGTTAGTTCCAATGCATAGCGACCCTGTATAGAATTTCTGGGGTGCAGTTGGTGAGTTTGAACCACCGACCTTGTAGTTCAAACCAGCCTTGCAGTCTAGTGCTTGTCCTACAGCGCCACACCAGGACTCCACTATAAGAACTTGTTGTTAAGTGCCGTCAAGTTTGGTTCTGACTCATAATGACCCTGTAGTGTATAGGGTTTCCAAGGAGCGGCTGGTGGATATAAACCACTGACCTTGTAGCTCAAACCAACATTTCAGTTGAGTGCTTATCCTACAGTACCACACCAGGACTCTGTAGCAACTAGCTGGTATAAAACACCATGGGAACATTCTCTGAGAGCATATGTGTGTTCTCTGGACATGAAGAGAAAAAACTTCAGTTCTATGTTTTTTAAGCTCTAACCATCATCCCATGTTTTAAGATCTTTTTTGTGCTTAAATTTTTGTATTTTCAGTTCTTATTCTAGCTTGGTGTTTATTTCTAGAGAGAATAAAGCCTAGGATGAATAACCTTGTTTTCCCCTGGATTTAGAAACAGAAAGAAACTTCCTCTTAACGGCAGTAACAAATCTTGTTTTTTGTAGAAGTTCTTTTAAAACAATGTTTCTGTCATTTGTAATTCAGGATAAGCACCAGTCATTTTCAAAATAAAGACATTTGTTTCTTAAAAACAGAGTTGCCAAGTGTAGAACTAAAAATTTGTAGTAGTTATCAAAAATATCTGTTGTTAGGAAAGGCTCGTTAAGAGAAAATTCCTGAGCTTAATAAAGAACTTTACAAAAACCCTAATTTCAATACTTAATGATGAGAAAACAGGTTATTTCTCCCTAAGATTGGGAGCAAGTGAAGGTGTACCCTCTTACCACTCCTGTTTGGTATCTTATTAGAGTTTCTAACTAATAACTAGTATTGAAAGTACCATGAGCTGCCAGAAGAACAAATAAATGTCCTAGAAAATGTACAGCCAGAATATTCCTTGGATGCGAGAATGGCAAGACTTTATGTCATGTACTTTGGACATGTTTATTAGGAGGGACCAGTCCCTGGTAAAGTAGAGGGTCAGTGAAGAGAAGAGGAAGCCCCCCATAAGATGGACTGAAACAGTGGCCTTAAATATGACAACCGTTAGGAGGATGGTGCAGGACTTGACAGTGTTTCTTTCACAGCATCAGCTGATGCAGTGAAGCAAGAAATGGAAATAAAAGGTAGGTACAGGTGTTGAGAAGAAATGGCATTCTTATCTATGCAGAAAATCCCAAATAATTGACCTCACCTCACGCCAAAAAGATAATAAATAAACGACTCTGAAACTCGTAAGTGACTATAGCAAGGTCGCTGGATGCAAAGCCAAGGATGCAAAAGTCAATTGCTTTCCTACAGAGCAGCAATGAACAATTGGGATTTGAAATTAAAAGTCATGATAGTTACATTTGCCCCCAAATAACCCCCCAATACTTACGTATACATTTAATAAAACATGTATAAGATCTTTACGAAGAAAACGACAAAATTTGGATGAAAGAAATCTAAGAATATCTAAATAAATGTAGAGATACAATTTTCATAGATGTTGTTGTTAAGTGCCTTCAAGTTAGTTCTGACTCATAGTGACCCTGTACAGAGTTTCCAAGAA